AGGGGTGGAGATCGTCCGGACCAGCTGATTTGAACACGTCCAGTCCCTCCAGAAGTTCCCTGACTAGATCCTCCCTGACCCCTGGCCTGAGTGCGCCTCCGTTGGGGCCTGAGGGGGGCCAAGGGTCAGGGAGGATCTAGTCATATCAACCTGTGCACATTTTAATCCATCTGTGTGTTCCCATAAAAGGTGTCTTGGTTCCTTAAACATGCATTTTCACACCCTAACACTTGGCCTTGGACTGCTGGCTGGAATAGTGCCCAATACAAAGGAACACCCAAAGGAATCTGATCCCAGCTGAAAGGGCCTGCAGCGAGACACTGTTTTTTAATTGGTAACTGAGCAGTTCAGGAAAAGGATCAAAACCATGGCAGCCACTAAAGACACGCTGGGGGGGAAACAAGAAAAATAGGAGACAGCATGGAGCAGACTGAGAACCTGGGCATCCAGGTCCTGGGTACACAGCACAAAAGGCACCAAGAAAATGTCCAGATTGTAGGCAACGATGCAAGGGGTGAAAGACAGAATCACTATACCCATAGGGCTCAGCAGCGCTGCAAGAAGTAAGCTCGAACACATTTAGTGAAAAAGCAGGGAGACAACTGCAAAAGGAGTAAGGTATCTGCTAAGTATGCCCTTAGCAGACCCAAAGCATTGTAAAATACATATGCTACTGAGAGCAGCTAACAACCATTCAACAGCTGCATTTCTAACCAAGGCAGTGTATCAAATGACCAATTTGATATAACTGAGAAGACAGAGCAGACACCAATGGCGCTGCCCATCCTTCTAACAACATACAAGGGCATATTGCAAGATAACGAATGCCTGGAGGACATGGCTGCACACGCAACCACAAGACTACTGAAAGCACCAAGATCTACTCATCACAAAAGAAGAAACCGGCAAGCCTGCAAAGAGGTGAAATCGTGACCTATACAACTGAAGCAGTTGTCAGGTGTGTAAAGATGAAAGGGAGACTCTTACTGCCTCCTGAAATCCACAACTGCCCCTGAAATAAGGCTGGAAGGGACCTGCTCACTAGGAGCAGGAGGAATAGAACAGGCAGAGCCAGTGACTGCCCCCATTCGGGCGGTGAGCGTGTGCTGGGAGGGTGGCCAACAAGGAATCGGCACCACGAGGCTGAAGTCGCACTGCATGCCAAGCATCAATACAAGGTGCTGGGGGGGGGGGCTTTCTGAATCTTGGTAAGTTCTTATCTCAATGTCTCTCTGTGGCAAAGAGGCCCAGTTTAAATGCTCCTTGTGCGAACAGGATTTTCTTTTCCCGATTCGGAATTCGCTACTGCTCTATTTCCATGAAGGCCCCTTGTCCTTCTGTTGCAAAACAGGAAGAAGAAAAGTTAGTCTACTTTCTGAATTCCATTTGTTAGTCAATGCACTTCTCTCTCCTACTCTTGCATCTCCTTGCAAAGGTAATGGCGTCTCAGTCTTTCCAAACTCTCTTCACAGAGTCTCTGTGGTTCCTCACAATTTTCTCTAGACTTGACTCAACTAACAGTTTAGGTAGCTCCTAATCTTGCTCCCTCACTGGGTATGGAACGGGAGTTTAACAATGGACATGCCAAGCACTAGACTTAAACCAGACCAGTTCTCCAACCATACAGTAACAGCTCAAGTGGAAGCAGACAGGCTGCTCCAGACCAAAGACAAAGACGGAGATGAAAGGAGAGAGCGCTGCAGAGTGGTGGCAGACAGATAGCTAAGAAAAGCCTGGCCAAGGTCAGGATCAACATGATTTAGATGTGGTCGTGTCCATGATCCAACCTGATACAGAAGAGTCAGAAGCAGCAAAGATGGATTACACTCAGGTTACCAGTTAGTGACTTGAATCTATACATTTCTTTGACATATAAAATTACTACAAATGTCATAAATGAACTTAGGACAACCAAAGCAAATGTAGAAGTGCTACCTCTGATGAGCTGAAATGTGAAGTATTTAAGTCCTTTTTGCTTTACTATTAGGGACAGATTCAGCTTATGCTCTGATTGCTACCCCACCCAGGACAATGTAGGGCACCATCTTAGCTGAAAGTAGCTTGGCTTCACCCTTTTGCAAGCTGCAGGAGGCAGCAAACATTTTGATGTAGGGCACCTTTGCTAGGGATTGCTGTTGTTTCAGTCCCATTGAAAGCAATGAAAGAGAATCTCCAATTTAAAATACAGCAGTTCCTTTGTGAAGGATTCTGTAAAAGAAAAATTTTCAGCATCTCTGATGATAGATCAGCTTTTGGCTGCAAAGCATAATGTCAAAAATGCCAGCAAACTTTAAAACAAGTCCTCAAGAGTGGTCCGCATACAAAAGTTTAAGTGAGCTAACTGTATGTGAATTTCAAAGCTATTTCATATCAAAAACAATTAAGAGGAAAAAAAAGTACAGCAGTAACAGCTACATTTCTTTAAAGACCCATTTTTAACCAACTACAACTCAAACTAATGAATTTACTTGTACATTTTCTGCTAACTCATTCTGCATTCAAAAGGAGTAATCAATATCATTTGAAAGACATTTGCTGTATTCTTCAAAAACAAACTGATTAAATCCCAGCTTTAAATGCAAAATTTAACTCAGCCTTACATACAGAAGCAGATTTGAACTCCCTGCCCTAGTAAAGATGCACTTTAGTTCAGCCTCATTTCCAATCCTTTGTACTAGTTACTCATTTCAAGCGCTTGGCAAGGCTAACATCATGCTGACGCACACCTTCCCAGCACTGAACACATCAGTACAAGCACTACTTTCTGAAAAATGAGGATAGTTATATAAAATCTGGCATTGGTATGCTACTCTAAGAAAGCATTTCTATTTAAAAATTAGCAGCAATTGGAACTACACTTATTAAAGAAACAGGTTAGAAACAATTCAGCGTTCAAGAAGATCTGTTTTCCATTGCCATGTATGAGAACTGGGCTTGAATCTTCAGTTTGAGATCTGTTTTATTTACTTGATGAAACACATTGCATAACAGCTATTTAAGGACTGAAAAGAAAAAAGAAAAAGAAAAAAGCTTACCACTATAAGAGAGTCACATGACACGAGGCAAAACGGCCTAATGACTCTGTTTCATCTTGTGGAAGAAAACACCAAAACAAATACTCAGACAGTAAATGCTATTTGAGCTATACAACTAGTATTCTATTGCCTCTGAACAATCAAGAGAAATTTAAGTTAACTGGATTTTGTAACATATGAGACTGAGGAGGATGGCAGCTCATGTTCTGCAAGCTACAAAGCAAATGCTATCCTGGAGTCATGATACATGCCTCCTCATTGTAATGACAGAACTAAAGATAATCAATCAAGCATTAAATATTTTGTTGTACAGAGACATGAGAGTTGAAAGCAAATGTAAACTTACGTATGCTGGAGTCTCCAAAGCATCTGTATTCACCAGTACTGGAGGGGGATTTGCCTTTAAAGGAAGAATTTTAAAATATACGTTGTGAAAAGTATGACTCAGAGGAGGCAGTACAAAAGGACAATTAGTTTATAATTCTTAACTTCCATATGATTTGCACCAAGCCCCAGAGTTGTTAAAAGGCACAGTCAAGGATGAGAAGCTCAAAATTTCACTTCTTTCAAAAAACAGCACCTTATTTCATTTCCTTCCATCTGTCTGACCAGAACAAAGTGCTACCTTTCTACAAACTCCTAAAAAAGCTACCACACACTTTAAATCAAACAAGCTCATCTGGTTATTTGACTTTTTCAGCATTCCTTAAAAGAAAAAAAATATCATATCAAATCACTATGTCAGTTAAACAAACAGACAATTTCCGTAGCTGAATTGCATAAGACATAACGTTCAAACATTAGTTTACCAACCCAAACCCTAGGTGTCTTGCTCAATAGGTGCCTATTAGATGGAGCCATGGCTGTTACACTTTGACCTAAAAACATCCTGTAGTAAATGGGCAGCTTCTGCAGAAAATGGAATCAGCAGGGATAAAATATGCAAACACCAAGTTAGCTCTTCCACACCCATGTATAATGCTTCTACGAATATCACCTACTGTGAAGACAAAGGTCTTTGGGTAAATCTGATATCTTTCATTAGACCAACTCAAATAGTTGGAAAAATTCTTCTTTGCAAGCTTTTGGGTATAAACATCCTTAGTCAGGCTAAGGAAGCCTCTGCAGTTCGTGTGTGCTCTTCTGGGATGGGATGAATAGTAAAGCAGCCAGAGGCTGGGCAGGGCTGCCTGCAAGACAGGCAGTCAGTGAAGATGTAAACTGGGGAGTCAGTGGGTGACAGACAGTTTGCAAGGGGGAGGTAGCTGGTAAACAGCAGAGAGGTACCTGGGGAGTTAGATGTTAGGTAGCTTACAATGTGTCATAAATCCAATGTTTATATTTAGTCCATGATTTTTAGTATCCATTAACCTGTTGTGAACACCTTCATGGGTTTGCAGACACAATTCAAAATACAGTTGGCATACTGTTAGATCTGCAGATTGGCAGCATACCATTAAACACAGGCCTCCTACTTTAGAGCATCTATTAACTACATGATTGACTGTAAAGTACTCTCTTTATGAGAAGACAATATTTTTTATTATTATAATTTTAATGGCCAGAAGTTAAAGGACTGTAATAAAAGATGACAGCAGTAAATGAATTATACAGTCCTATGAGGATGTGAAGTTTATCAGTCCATTCAAGTTTTGCATATCCTCCTCTGTATGCTAACATGAGACTTGCTTTAAAAACCTGCCTCTAAAATTAGTGGTTTAAAAACCCCATAAGCTCTTTTTGTAGTTTTGTTTTTAATCCACGTGTATATGATATTTATAATATTAAATGGACCAGAGGTTTATTTAAAATGCTGCGCTGGTCACCCAGACTATCAGAGTAATCCTGACAAACATCACATGCTACTTCATAGGCACTGCCACACCAAATGAGACCAGTGCTCAACTTAAGTCTAGCACTGTCACAGAAAATGGCCTGCACCAGATTCTTCAGGCATGAAATCCCCATAAGAAACAGTAAGGCTGTGTGACGCTTCAGTAGTCAATTCAATTCAGAGGAGATTTGGCCCGATTCAGGGACCAAATCTCCAAACTGAATCAGGAGACCAATTAACAGCTCCGAATCTATTTGAAGCATCCGAATCAATTAGGAAAAATATTCAGAAAAGATCTGGCAATTTGGCCATAGACTAAGCAGGCAGCTGACAGGGCTGCCTCCAGCTGGTAAGTCTGTTGGGGTTGGGGGAGGGAGGGACTGGGGCTGGGACAACGTGCCCAGCCCCGGCAGAGGACGCAGGACTCGGGGAGGGGGACAGGGTGACACTGGATGCAAGCATGGCAGCACTAGCAGTGGGGGCTGTGCCCTGCTGCCGCTTGCCCCCTTCTGCCCAGAGTGAGCCACGTCTGCATCCTGCCCCGGCTGGGCAAGCAACAGGAGGGCAGAGCCCCCACTCCTAGCGCTGCTGTGCCTGCATCCCGTGCCCCACTGTCCCCATGAGTCCTATGCCCCCC